GCACACACACACACACACACACACACACACACACACACACACACACACACACACCGATGACTTCTTCTCCGACTTTCCGCCTTGCTCGATTACCATTCTCGCGAAAATTTCGCGGGAGCTCCTTTGACGATGTTTACAGCTACATTTGAGTTTCTTTGACGAAGCTTCTTCTTTTAGTTCGCGTAAATCAAACTCGCAATTTTTGAAAAATCGCAACGAAAAATCGGATAGAAAGGTGAAGGAAGAGGCGAAAATATGGAGTGTTTTAACTTTTTAAATTTAAATATCCAGTTTTACGTATTAATCTAAGAACTAATAAGCGTAAATAGAAACGTTGACAAAAATAGTCGCGATTAGAAGGCAATCTCGTTTTTACGCAAGACTTTTAAAAAAATAAGAACGGCTGTAGTCTGAGGCACGAATTCATACGTCCGTTTTACGACGCTTGAAACGTAGGAAGGTTGACCCCAAAAGGGGAATTCGGTTTACGATTCTTTCCAGTTCGATACTCACACGGGATAGAACGAAAAGGAGACGAAAGTGGGATGAATATATTACCTACGTTCTTCTCCGGGTTAGAAATGAAGAGCTCGAGAGGAGCTAATAAATGTAAGACGTTGAATAAAATTTCAAGACAAAACGACTGAGAGACCAAGGTGTCGTCACAAAAATTGACTTGGCGTGAAAATGACAACGTGAAATCTCTTTCGGATATATCAAAATAAAACGAGCAATCAGAGCTATGAAACAAAGATAACACATCCTATATTTGATCGGCGTTCGAATTCTTCAAAAGTTCCAAATTTAAGCGGCTCAGATTGAATAGAGTTTGAACTCGCGAAACTTCCTTTCAAAAGCTGAAGAGGCAGAATCGGAAGATAATCGGAATTTAAAGTACGTCCAAATATTAAACTTTCCGTGGGAGAATGGAATCATGTCTTACCAAGTTTTGCAAATTTGCAAACTTTGTGCACGTCATTACACGAGAATCTATGCGATCTGCCTATTAACTTATTACAAAAAAAAAGTATGTGACATTGAGCACTCGTTGTACTTTAATTTAATGTCAATTTTATGCGACATAATTTGGTAATAGTACTATTACATAAGATTTAAGATTTTACAGAAATAAGTTGTAATATCTTAGTTAATAAAATGTTCCATACAATTTAAAAAAATATGTATCTTAAGTATGTATCTTTTAATCTCTCTTTAAATATGTATCTCTATCTGCGAAAACAACAAAAATGTTTCAAATAGAAAAGTTAATTATCTTCTAACAAAATATTTAATAAAAATTTCTAATTACTTTAAATCTAATTGTTTTTGTTTTTTTTCACTAGTTTGCATTTTCTAAGTCTAATTAAATCAATCAACGCATTCAACGAGCGATAATTTTCAATAAACTTGAAAACCATACACGTTACGCCGCTCGATTGGCATCTATCTATGGCGGAACGAGAGAATTTCATTGGCACATACCTGCACTGATTGCGGCCAGATGCATGTGTGATTCGTCGGCCTGTCCCCCGCGATCATCGGAGGAACGGACGAGTTGCATTTGCTGATGCCGTACATTCCCGCTCTTCCATATTGAGCGTGTTCGACAAGGATGGTTGTGCCGGGTGGGCATTTTAACGTCATCGTTTCCTCGTCGCAAGCCGCGCGTTGATAGGTCTTCAGGGTGCCTGACAACAGGGCTGTCCAGTTAAAAAAGAAAGACCGCACGACCACACGTGTAAATCGTGTAAAAATGGAATCAAACGAGCCGCAGTACGACGTATGATTCGAATAAAATTATATTATATCGTTGTGATCGATAATAATCAATATAGATCAATGTGTAAATGAGAAGCAAAATATAAAATAAATGC